ACCAATTTTCAAATTATTTACCAGCAAAACATGCAAATTAATATTCGGGAAATATTTCATAAATAAAATCTTTAGTTCTCTTGACATAGTTTCAGACACACTACCAAAATAGGGCCATGTGCAATAAATAGTTTTCTTACTATCGCATTCAGTCACTGTTTGAGAACATTTGTTATATAAGAAGCTTTTGATTTTACTAAACACATAGTACGATGGAAAACCATTCAGCTGAATTTTATTACGAATAAATTCGAATTACAAATGCATATCATGGAAGGTAGAACAAACCCTATAGCCGCGGTATATCAAAGTTTGAAGACTATTCAGTTTGAAACACAACGAGCAGAAGCTAAAGAAGCTCATAGTAACTTTACAATCGAGAAATGATAAGCAATTGTTGGGTTTTAATTCCATAGTGAATTGTATTGAAGAATGTTTGAGGTTGGAGTCTCTACATATCTTCAAGCGAAAACCGTGTCTCAATAATGCGTTTAGTTCATATCTTCTTGAAATAGTGAATCGATAGGCTTGCATGTTTTTGTGTTTTTCTTAAGTTTTATTATTTTTGTGAACCATAGGACTAAGTTGTACCGATCGAATCCTGTTTTTCGATTTAATGTTAGGTCTTGTTTTGGTTTTATGTCTGTCTCAGAATTTTTACTTGTAAAATGATATATTCATTTTTAGATTGTCGAACTGATGATGTAGCTGGACTACGAAACGTTTTCAATATCGATGTGTTAAATTTACTTTGCGTTTTATTTGCTTTTAAATTCCTTGGAAATTCTGAACGTAATATAGCAATATTTTGTAAAATCTCGTAAAGTCTCCTACAAATATTTAGTAAATAAAATATGCCTTTAAATGAAATTATGTGCCCATATGAAAGACATATAAACTGTGCGGGATATATCACTTGTAATTGTTAAGTTGCAATAACCCATTATATGGAATAGGGAAAAGAATATTTCCGGTAGCTGTAAGGGTATGCTTCGACGCGCGTGATGAATTGCATCTTCAGCGTTTCCTACATTCGCACTCATAGAACAATTATATGAACCGCATAATTTGCCAATATGGCTCTAAAATTTGGCACAATTAACAACATTAGCAACATCGAGAGGCTTCCACTTGGGCACCGTCAAATTTATTTTCGATTGTTGTAAATTATTTATCAATATTCGAAATTCATCAGTTTCCGATTTTTTTCCTATTTTCTCTAGCGCAATGGTATTTTTGTTGATATTAATATATTTATGGTAACGACACGTAAAAATTGTTCTCGCTACAAAATTCCTTAGAATATTTGAAAATGGTTATTTGGTGAGTAACTAAAGTAGATTTTAGAGTAGTTGTGCGGTTCTCGGTCTATATAGCTCAAAAGATAGGGTTTTTAATTCTTAGGGAGAATATTTCCAGAAGTATCGTACTACAAATCATCGGTATTACTAAAATTACGACACGCACAATAATATAATGATGACATCAGCAAACGCTAATTAACCCCTCAATCTGTGCTCGTCAAATGTCAGTCGTTACTCGTAACGAAAGTTCCCGTCAAGAAATTGAGCATTTTTTTGCTCGATATGTAATGATGAAACTTATACTAAACTCCAAAATGTTGCAATGATTACGTCATTATTTGAAATATTATTGACTAATAATGTAAATTCATATCAATGAATTAGTTATGAATAATTTTAACAATGTGAAATAGTTACGCATACAAACGTTTTCATATCAGTCCGAATTTTAAAAACTGGCTAATGCAGAAACTCGTGAAGACAAATGAAGTGAAATTTTAAATTAATGATCCTTTTTTCCTGGAAAGTTGAAAGGAAAAAATAAACGATGCCTATACTTTCAAAAAAGTTAAGAGATCGTAAGTTCATCCGCCAATCATTGACTGCCTTTCAAACAAAATCCACCAATCATAGACAAGGAAATAGAGCGTAAGTACTTACGTTCACTTGGCGAGTTTTGAAAGTATGGCCCCAGGATGTCGTGCGAGATCAGCTGGTGTAATGAGCTAGCTTTATCGGTAGGGGTCGTTCGATCGTGGTGTGAAATTATATATTTAATATAGCAATATTTTCTTAAATTTGGTAAACTCTACTACGAATATTTAGCAAACAAAATAGTGACATTGAATGGAATTATGTGTCCATAGGAAAGACGAATAAAGTGCGCGGGATCTATCAGTATCACTTGTAATTGGTAAGTTGCAATAACCATTTAAAGTTATTAAGGAAAATAATATTTCCGGTAACTGTCAGCGTATGCTTTCACACACGTGAGGACTTGCATGCTCGGAGATTCCTGCGTTCCCCATCAGAGAGCAATTATTTGAACCATATCATTAGCCATTCAGGCGCCAAAATTAGCGAAGCATTTAGCAACATTCTCAAATAACGAAGGCTCTCACAAGGATAGTGCCAAATATATTTTTGAATTCTGTAAATTAATTTTAAATTATTGATGTTATGGATTCTTTTTTTTAGTTTCCTTACACAGTGAAATTTGTTGTTAAACATCATACTAATAGATGACAACATGCATAAGCTTGTTCTTCCTGCAAAATTCTTCAAAATATATAGAAACGTTTATTCGCTGAGTAAGTTCGGGAAATTTCAAAGTAGTTGTTGCAAATTGCAATTCTTAATCTATATCGCTCATATTGATAGGTTTTTAATTCATGTGTAGATTAGTTTCAAAAGTATCGTGACTGCAAATCATCGGTAATGTTACAATTACGATACAAACAAAAAATCTAATGATGACATCAGCAAACGCTAATTAACCCTTCAATCTGTGACGTCTGCGTGTAGATCTCATTGAAGTATACAAGTATACTCATGGTTTATACAAGCTCCCTGAAGGATTACTAGAATTTGAAACAAGAACCAACACCAGGGGCCATGGCTATAAACTAAAAAAACTGAGCTGCAACTTATCCACGCGACAACATTTCTTCTCGTTTCGAATCATCGACATGTGGAATAGCCTCCCTGATAGCATCGTTGACGCTCCGAGTATCATAGTATGAACGCTTCCATGAACAGACTAGATAAAGCTATGTAAAAATATATGTTCAACTTGAAATGTCTAGCACCATATCGAACCCGGTGGGAGTCTAGTAGCTATTTCAAACTATCGTTAGTCCTGAAAAGATCCGGTCAAATGACACGATTTTAGATCTTCTGTGAACAAGTCACGAAAAGTAAAAGAATCGGCGACAGGCCACATCGCCTACTCCTCAGCGCCGACATCACTATGTTATATGTCAGTCGTTACTTGTACCGAAAGCTCCAGTCAAGAAATTGAGCATTTTCTGCTCTGTGATCCAACTTTCAGTGAACTCCAAAAATGTATCAATGTTTATGTCGTTATTTAGGATATCATTGACTAATAATGCAAAATCAGATTAAGAAATTTCCCGTGATCAATTTCTAATTCGTAAAATGACGTAGTCATGCCTACCAACGTTTTCTAATTCTAGTTTATCGAACGTGATAAAAAATGGCTAATGCAGAAACTCGTGAAGACCCGTAAGTTGAATTTTAAATTAAATGATCCTGCTTCCGTTGAAAGCTGAGAGGAAATCAAATAATAAACGACTAGGACTTCGTGCGGAATCAGGTGGTGTAATGAGCTAGCGTTATCCGTATTGGTCGCTCTATCGTGGGTTGAAATTATAAATATAATACAGCAATATTTTGTAAAATTTAGTAAACTCTACTACGAACATTTTGTAAACAAAATATTGCCTTTAAATGAAATTATCTGTGACCATATGAAAGGCCATAAACTGCGCGGGATCTATGACTTGTAGTTGCTATAAAGGCCCGTTTACACTAGTGGCAACGACATGCNGCGGTAGCTGTCAGCGTATGCTTAAACACGCGTGAGGCCTTGCGTCTACAACGTTGCCAACACCAAGTCTAATAGCGAGTAATCGTTACATGCTTTCAGCGGTCTCCTTTGCCTGCCTGGCTCCAAAATTTTGATCATTTACCCCAATCTTATAACAATACGCGCGACTTTCACGGATACACGGTCAAATGTATTTTCGATAGGTTTAAATGAATTCCCGATGTCCGAAATTGATTGTACTATAGAATAATCCTCACTTTGATTACTTCATACAATGTAATTTATATATGATGAGAATTTTCATGATTGAAAGCACAAAAAAATGGTTTGTTGCAAAATTTCTACGAATTGTTCAAATACTTTCATTAGCTGAGTAACTTCAGTAGATTTTGAAGTAGTGTCCAGCAGTTCTCAATTCATATATCTTAAAATGACAGGCCATTTAATTCATTCGGATAATATTTTCAAATGCATCATGATCATGACAGCAAATTATCGGTATTGTTACAATTACGACACATACAATAATATAATGATGACATCAGCATAAGCTAATTAACCCTTCAGTCTGTGCTTGTCTGTTGTTAGTCATTACTCCTACCGAAAGTTCCCTTCAAGAAATAGAGCATTTTCGATGTGTAATGATCCAACTTATACTAAACTCCAAAAATGTACCATTGTTTATCGCGTAATTTTGAGATACCATTGATCAATAATGCAAATTGAGATAATGAGATTACGGAATTTGTTGTGAATCATTAAACTTGAAGCGTTGTGAGTCCGCATCCATTGCGCTTAGATTTGCTCAAATTCAAAACACGGCATATCTGAGACTGATTTACCTACTCCGGCCCGCGCCGGCCTCCTCAAAGCTCTTTCTTGGCTCAATCCTTCGTCGCCGATCTGCAAAACTGTAAACCACCCCTGTAACAGCTGTAAGGCTGTATTAAGAGCCGTTATATAAAAGAAGAACCAGTGGGCCACTTCATAACTTTTATGAGAGAAAGACTAAAGAGTAGGTAATTGGGCTTGTCACAGTCTCTGAGTCTCACAGAAACCGTGCCAACTGAGACAGCTGACAGCACTGTCTTATAACTTTGTTTCGTGTTGAACAATGAAGTATGAACATGCTCCTGGTGTGTCTTCATTAATGTACCTACACATTCCTACAGACTATGGTAGGATCATTGTGGTGATTTGGCAAAGCAGAGAATTTTTCTGACTCTTTCTCAAGTTCATTTTTGATCTCTTATGTCTTGAAAGAGTAAAGTAATAAAAGTAGGTAGCTATCATGTAGCCTATCATCAGAGATTCAGAGTACCTACTTTTATTTTTATTTTGAGTCCCTATAACTTGCTATAAGTACTAAGTAGGCAAGTAAAGTATCATGGATGATTGGATGTCCATAGTGGCAAAGCAGAGAGTTTTTTAGACTCTCCCTCAAGTTCATTTTTGAGTCCTATGTGAAGACCAGTAAAGTATTCTGGATACCAGCATTATCATACATAAGAAATTGGTTTAAATCTTGAGTAGATGAGGAAATTAAAAATGAACTGATTCCAAAAAATCTGTGGTTTGACTTTCCGTGGCAGGGCCAAGGCTGTTCAACGCCCTACCAAGGGATCTAAGAAAGGGGGAGTTCACCCTGGAGACCTTCAAAAGACAACTAGACGTGCTCCTGAGCACAATCCCAGATCGTCCTCCCCTGTAACACTACCAGCGGCGAGTAGGCTGCAACAGTATCGTGCATCAGGTGGCCCAAATGAGGGCGAATGAACGATAATCAGAGGCGGCGATCCATCGTGGCCTGGGACTGCTATGTTCCAAACAAATACTAAGGACGAAGGCTTAATGTCGTTTAGGGAGACCGTAATATTCTTATTATGCAGTGACCTATGCAGTGGCTTTCCATGAAGACTTGATATTTCGTTTATGAAGGCCGTGATCATTATGCGACACAATGACTCTTGAAGAAGACTTGATATAGCGTTGATGAGGGGCGTGATCGTTCACATCGCTAGCATCGCAAACCTCGCGCATCCGTTGCAGGCGTCACGGCTATCGAGCGCCACTTCCAGGACTCGTGCAGCCTTCGACCATCACGCCTGTTCCGTCTTCTGGAATGTCACGCTGAATCTCAGACAGAGCTGCATGTTTATGGAATGAAACTTCTTGTGGTAAACTGATTTAGGAAATTTAACCATATTCTATTGTCACAATTATTCCATCCCCGTTTTGGGTGAAAATTTTGAAATAGACGTAAAAATACTCGCATTCTTGTAGCTGTCGACAACATGGGACAAGTAGTAGACTTGATGCTGCAGACAAACCAGGAACTTGTACAGGTCAGTTGTACGACGCAAGAACACTGCTTAGTTCATCCTAAAGTGTTGGCTATGTCCCATGTATTCAGATATACAGGGTTGGAAAAAATTAGGGAAGGGCCTTACATTCAGAAGACATAATTTTAAAAGTAATTTTTTCCCAGAGATAATTCTTTATTCCAGGTCCCGCTGATTGTTATAGACAGCGTGGAGGAGGGGGATGAGGAGGAGGAGGAGGACCTGCAGGAGGGGGATGAGGAGGAGGGGGAGGGCGCGTTGCAACACCTTTCCGTTCCAAATATGCAAGGTGACCGACGCAAATCACCGCGCGGGCACCTTGACTCAGATAATCAAGTTATCAAATGTAAATTTTGTCCAAAATTTAAAACGTTCCAACAATTTAACTTAAATAAACATATGAAGAAATTTCATCCGGAAAAAATCTAAACATTTTCAAATTTTTTAGGGGGAGGGGGCGTCGCAGCACCTTTCCGTTCCCCGAGGCCGCACTGCAGGAGCGCGATGATCTCATCACCAAACGAGATGCATGTTATTTCAACTCTTCTATATCTTGCTGTAATAAGTGGTTATGATTTAATGATTATATGTATACGTGAACTATTAAATACTGTAAGTGTTTTCATTACAATTATGACTATGATCATTTTAATATATTGAAACTTGACCAGGCAACATCTGGTCTCACTCTCAACCTCTCGCTCTCCACCCTCCACCAGGACACCCACCCGCTGCTCCACTCCGCCGGAGATCTGTATTACTGACTTAGATGAGGAGGGGCGGGAAGAGGACGTACAGGAGGAGGAGTAGGGACATGAGGGGCGGGAGGACGAGGAGGACGGACAGGAGGAGGAGGACGGACAGGAGGAGGAGGAGGGACAGGAGGAGGTGCGGGTGGACGAGGAGGACGGACTCATAGAAGGACAAATCCCTGGCGTATGAGCAGCGCTCTATCCTCCTGTACGTAAGAGTCTCCAAACCAAATCGGAAGGGTCGGCCAAGCTTGCTGCCGAAAACTCCTTCCTCAGCACATCGAACTACAAACGTTGTTTCGATGTTGAAATACAAACGCAAAATTTCAAACGTAATCTACCTAGTGGACGAGGTTGATCAAAGTTGTACCACGTTAACCCATCTAAAAAGTAATACCGCCACGAAACCTCCCCAATTTTATCTACTACTTTGAAGCCGACAAATCCCCAGTGCCAGCTCTCGGGTACTGTGCAACTACCGTAGTCCATAAAGACGGAATATCACTGCGCAGATCTACCACTTAGTTGCGCAAACGCTTGAGAAGAAGTTAGCAGTTTGGAAATGAACCCGATGCATGATGAAGGACGTTGAGACAATTGTCGAGTACAAAGATGCGTCCCTGGTTATACATTCCATATGTGGCACGAAGACATTAGGCGGCAGTTTCAGACGCAACTGAAGACAAAGTAAGAACAAGATGCGGGGATCTTGCCTCCCTGACGTTCACACCACCTGAATAATGAATAGTCAACTGTGCATGGCCGTGACGTGATATCGCGCTGAGACCAGCACAAAATTTCGCCGTTGTCCCCGCTGCTGCGTGTACTGGGCAATGGGCAACTTATCAGCGCCCGCAGCTTGAGGGACTTGCTTGTCCATTTAGCGATTCAGTTTAAATGCTTCTTACAGTAAAACTCAAAATTTACTGTATCAACCAAAATAATTTGAATTACTAATGTACTGCTCATGCTGCCATCTTTTCTTCACATCCGCGGTCGGAGAAATTTCGCTCGAGGCTAATTCGCTCGTTCGATCATATAATCTAGGCTATTCCCACCCATGTATAGAGGTGTAAAGCTCTTGATATCGGCGGCTGATTGGTGGTCTTGCGGAAACTTGCTAGGCATTCAGGGCCGATTGATGCACAAAATTTGGGGTGCATGACTAAGCTCCCAAATCAGTAATGTCGCGTGACTCTCGTCAACGCAATGGAGAACGAGACTAACTGCGCAACACAGAATAGCTGTTGTTTACAGCACAAGGTCAAGCACAACTATGCAACAGGTTAAAGCCCTCTATCTTATACTTTAAAAGTTTTCGAATCCATGTCGTCCAAGGACATTACGAAAACAAAATAAATTTCGACACTAATGTCTAAATTTTACCTACATACCCCTAAGGCTTATATAGCGAAAGATTTTCACGAAACGTGTCCTATTTTGAGGTATTTCGACAGTTCATTCGAAGTTGGCTGCGAACTGAAGAATACAAATCGGGTTCCAATCACTGAAGAGCATTTCCATACTGGACTTAACTATGGTCGGTTCCTAGGAAACGCTGCAAACGCAGTATACTGGACGAGAGTGACTCCACTAAGTTGCTTAATCAAATTGATACCCATCGTACCTACGTAATATTATTACATTACCAGAACCTGAAAGCAAAATTGAAGGCGATGTTACGCCAGACTCCACCTTTAATGTTAAGCTGCCCTATACCTACGCTACACCATCTCGAGTAACGGCGATACTCAGAGAGGATTGAACTTTTGACTAAATCGATGAAAGCGGCAGAGTGTGAATCCGGCGATAGTAAAACGGGGCTATATCGGGCGTTCAGTCTTGGCACTGAGTTTAAATCTGAGTTGGCCTTAATCTCCAAATTCTGAATTGAAGAACTGAGGCAGGTTGCCCACATCGAATGGCAGGAAATGTTGCGGATTGCAACTGGCCAAATTCTCAACTTGACTTCAAACCAACTACCACTTGACTTCAGTCCAAGATCACTTATCCATAGAAGTTGGAGATTTTTATACATTTCAAACGAGGGATTTAAATTATTCACAATAATCATAGAAAATGGAAAGAACAATCCTAAGAAATACCGAACAATGAACACTTTGTCTTAAGTTTAGAATGCAAAGCAATGAACATTTCAGATAAGTCTGTATTAATATCCATACCTAGCATAACGCGAGTTTTTGACTCGCTTGGGACGGCATGCTTTCGATGTCTCGTAAGAACCTCCGCGGCGTACGGACTTGCGACGAGGCACATCGATGCTATCAGGGAGGCTGTTCCACATGTCGGTGACATGTCGGTTCCACAAATTTATGTAGATGTAATTCATTCGCGATTAATAATATGCCGATTATGATAATAATCATATTTTATACAGTTCCGTATTTGAACCAATGTTTTTTATAGTGTTCTGAGATTGACTATTCGCTAGGAAATGAATACCCTTTCGATCGGAATACCAAAAACGCCACCATTTCCCATCACATTGTTCGGTAAATAAGTAATCAGGAATTTTTGCTGGCTTGATATTTTAAAGTTTCCCAAGTTTGGACTCAAACTTGTTCAGCAGATGACGATGACAACATTCACTCTGTATGTACAGGGTGCGCCAGAGAAACTTACTTATTTGAAAGTTCAATAAAAACAAAAGTACTTCGATTATTGTTTTAAAAAATTTTTTAATTAAGAATACAGTATCCCAAATTTTTTTTTCATGCATTCTTGAAAATGACATCTCATAAATGACGGCCCTCATTGCGTATACACTGATGAAGTCGATTTTTGAAATTTGTATCCACTCTATGCAGTATATCAATCGGTATTTTGGCAATGGCGTCGCGAATGTTGTTCTTGAGGTGTGCTATGGTCCGTGGTCGATCGACATAAATCGAGATTTCAAATAACCCCATAAAAAATCGCATGGAGTCAAATCAGGAGAGCGTGGCGGCCATTGGAGATTGCCTCTGAGAGAGATGAGGCGATCGGGGAAATGATATCGCAGCAAATTCATTGAGTCTCGTGCTTGGTGTGCTGTGGCTCCATCTTGCTGAAACCACACGTTCCTAACGTTTATTTCGTCGAGTCTTGGAAGAAAAAATTCCTCGATCATGTTCCTGTAACGAGCTCCATTAACGGTAACTGCGCGTTCGTTCGAATTATTCCCATTACCGAGGTCGCATATCAGACAGTAACTCGCTCACAGTTAAGTGGCTTCTGGTGAAGCTCACGTTGATTTACACCACACCAACAACGCATGTTTTGCTTGTTGACGCAGCCGGAAATGTGGAAGTGAGCCTCGTCACTGAAAAAACGACCGCGTCTTTGGGCAGGTTGTCAACCAGCATTTCATATGCATTTTGACGGGCAACAAAATCGCGTTCAGTTAATTCTTGCACAACAGCAAATTTTTTGAGAAACTTTGAGAAACAAACTTGGACACTTTCTCCTTCAGATGCGCCCCCTCTTGCTCCTCTACTCGCCCAACTAACCGCACAGGAATTTTTCCAAATAAGTAAGTTTCTCTGGCGCACCCCGTAGGTTCCAAGCGCTGCAGCATATCATTACTCTACTATAATATTTTCATTGAGAGGGAAGATATTTTATAATTATCGTGACTGTGAATCCTCGGCATTAAAACAATTACGATACAAACAATAATTTAATGATGACATTGGCAAACGCCAATTAACTTTTCAATCTGTGTTTGTCAGTTGTTAGTCTCATCTCCAAGAAATGAGAATCACCCAGCATCCCTGTTCTTGGAGTCTGTACGAGACTCATTTTTAATCCAGAACATCACCAAGCCAACCCATTTTAGGGATTTAAATAAATATGGCAACATTTTGTGACGTTTCATCGTTGCTGGTGCGTCGTGCGGTGTTTTGAGAGTCACGTAAAGCAAACAGAACTTGAGTAAAGCATACGGTTTTTTTATAGTTTTTCATTTCTCGATGCGTCCTTAATGTGTCGGAATATACCGCGTTTACCCTACATTGCGTGCCTATTGCGATGCGCGCGGGACTTTTTCACGCTCTCCTGAAAATTCACACTTATTGTCACGGCAAACCTATCTCCTCCTAGAGTTTTGAAGCTACAGCAATGAGACATACCATTCAATTTGCAAAGACCATACCTATCGAGTAACGAAGCCCTTTTTTTAGATTTGTGCATAGTTTGGATTCAAAATGGGATGTTGGGGGGTAATCTTAAGAAAAAATGGAAAAATGCGTGCAAAAAAACTAAGGCAAGAATTGTGTATCGTTACTCGATTGGTATGGTCTTTACGTACCGAATGATGTACGTCTCTATGTTGTAGCTTGAAAACCCTAGGAGGAGATAGATTTTTACAGTACCCCCTTTTTATGTCCGTTTTCTATGAATTTCACGTTTTTTATCAATTTTTCCCAAAAAATCACAGGAACAAAATGTGATTCTGTTGCGGTTTGTGAAGTTTCAGAAAGATCCTCCCATAAACAAAAAAGTTTTTCTGGAGGGTATACCCCCCCCCCTTAAATGTCAAGTAACATAACATAACATATTGATCTCGGTGCTGAAGTGTAGGCCTGATGTGGCCTGTTGCCGATTCTTTTCCTTTTCGTGCCTAGTTCACAGAAGATCTAATATCGTTTCATTTGACGGGATATTTTTATGACTGAAGTATAGATGAAGGAATTCAAAATGAATTGATTCTAAAAAATCTATGGTCAGTTGATTGCAATGAGGAGACAGTCTGAACTCAGAAATGTATTGCTGACTGTTCAATTTCTCTCCTGAAGGGACAAAACTGAGTGGGGACTTCCCAGTGGCGGTTGCCATGGCCCAAACCATCATGTACATGGGATTTTAACGTAGTGTTGCTGTTCTGGTTGCCAAGCAGCCAAAGATCCTTCCTCCTGACTCCAAACTCTGTCATTTTGACGGTTAACGCTTTCTTAATGTCAAATTTTTTCTTGTTACTGAACACCAAGTTGGGCAGCGTGCCATCCTCAATGAGATCCAGAATGTGCTGGCATCTTTCGAGCCTCATTTGTTCATGGGGGACTGTTAGTTCATGCCTTGTAAAGTTGTTTGCATCTTGTAAGGGGAGGTTTTGAGGTCATCTTTGAGGAATGAGGACTCTATGCATTGATGTCTGACAAACTCCTGCTTCTGCAGCCAATTTTGCAGCTGAGCAATGAGGGTTTCTCCTCAACTTCTCCCATTGCTTTTGACCAATTGTTTTGTTTGGATACTGTTTCCTTCCTTGACCAGGTTGATTGCATGTTTCACCAGTTTCCTTGAACTTTTTTACCACCTTCCACAGTTTCATGACAAATTTGGAGCTTTTTTGCAATGACTGAATTACTGTAGCCTTTTTCATGAAGGGTTAAAATTGCATTTCTATCTACTGCCATAAGTACCTAATAGTAAATTTAGACACCTTAGACTTCTGCAATATAAAATAGATGATATTAAGCTTCATTATGAAAGAAAGTCTCCTGGAAACCATTTTATTTTTTTATAGCAAACATCCATTGCCATAAATAGGGTGGACCCTGTATACATTTCAAGAGACAAGAATTACTTTTTTTAAAGGCCTCCCACACTCATCATTCCAACAAAAAAAAAGGGAATTGATTTTATTAAATAAAAACAGGGAATGGTTTCATGTCAATGATCAGGGCCCCAACCTTAACGCCTCTGATGGTGGCCTACACCGACTCCGAGGGTCACTGAGCTGTGACGCGAGCGAGGAGCGGGCCCACGTCGAACTTTTCTCTGACTGCTGTTAGGATGCTAGCTGCATTGCCTCTCTGCACAGCCAAACCCAACCTTTGCTCCAACCATAGAGTCTCTCTACGTTCGCCGGACAATTCCGTAATGCGACGGCCAATCTCTGATATTAAAGGACCAGTCGTTTCACCAAATGTGCCCGTCGTTTCTAATGCGACTGGCTCGAAACGATACCGAGCTGCCAACGCCGCGTATTTACGTCTCTTGCTATCCTCCGCCGCACGAGCCGCGAACCCAGCAGAAAAAGCCGAATTATTGACGTGCGACTCAGCAAAAGTGTCGACGCAGGTTGCATCCCAGCACAAACACCTCCCATTAGAAAACGGGAAAACCGTTAAGCCATCCGGTCTCTTACCATCCCCTCTGTCCACTCCAACGGGTTCAAGGCATGAAGGGACGCCAGCGCTCTGAAGAGCCCTCCTGATCACATCGTTCAGAGCCGAGTGTCTTGGATGTCGCCCAGCGCTGTACTTACAAGAAAGGCCATGCAGCCCTCGTGCATCCATCCGCTTTCCGCACCGACAAGTGTGGGGTTCGCATACATTTGCGCCAACTCGAAGAGCAATTGAGACGCGGAAGGAGTCGGGATCTAGAAGTGTTCCAAGAGCATCTGAAGGAATAGCGTGAAGCCACAAGCCACTCTCTCTCTTCGCCGCCGCAAGTAGACGAGCCCTGGATATTTGGTCCGCCGCTTCCAAAAGCCGCGCCGCGGAGGCCGCGGCCACAGGCCCATCCCAAGTCCTCTGCCGGCCCAAACTCGCGTCCCCGGGCAAAGCAATACCTGCGTTCCCATTGTGCCACTCATCCACCGCCATCCGCAAACTGTCATCCTCGGCCAGTCGTACATTCTGTAAAACAGCATCAACTAGGCCACGGACGGAGTGGAGTGACGATATGAACGCAGGGAGCGCGATGTCCTTTGACATACAGATACCCAGGCCTCCCAGCCGGACTGGCAACACAGCTTGTTCAAGAGATTCGCGCTCAAAGCTGACATTGGTGATGGTCGAGAGGGCAGAAACCAACACCTCATCAAACCGCTCCAAATCACCTACCCGCGTATATGCAGGACGCACGTAGGACGTACTGGAGTTTACGTACAGTTTAGGTACATTAAATGTACTAGAATCTGTATTAAATTAGTGCATGGTAGGTTAGTTATGTTAACTGGCTTAGTTCCAATCTGGAATATTAGGTCAGATTTACAAAAATTGCATGTGAAAATATGCAGTTTTTCTTAATTTCAGGCTATAGAAATTGAAATTTGGAAATGTGTATAATTGGCCACAGGCATGGTTGTTTTCTCCTTCAGGAGTGGCTTCTGCACAATTTTCCAATTTGGAGTTGATACGTAAACAAAAGCATGGTGGGAATGGCTGAGGCCTCCAAACTTTTTTCGCCAAGAGCAAACTTTCTGAAACCTTTGCAGGCCAGTCACACCCATTTACTGTTTTTAGTTCATGCGTAACCAGAAATAAACACCTTGCTTGATTTTTGTACACATAATGTTGAACTACATGATATCCTTGGAGGACCGGATGGAATCAGCCGCGGGCTGGAGTTTGGAGTTTGGACTTTGGAGACCCCTGGTCTGAGGCATTGTAGCAGAAAATATTTGATGGTCTCGAGAGATACACAACTGCGTAGTCATTGGCAAACATGTTTTTTTTATAAAGCAGCTTATTTTAATTCCCTGATATATGGTAGGATAGGGTTCAATTGCTTCACTCAGGAAGATGTTGGTTTTTTGGGAAATTTTTCTGTGCATGTATTTGAGGATAATCTCCATGTGATGAAGTGGCCCAGGCATACATTCAGAATAAGAGGACCTATAGGCAGCAAATATTGAACATATTTATTATTATTAGTAAATGTATGTATGTGTATAGTCTGCTGCACTGCAAGAGGATGCAATTGCAGAGCAGCCATCTGCACCAATTGCATTTGCCACCATTAGCAGAGCAGCCATTGAAATTAACAAATAGGATTTTAATGTAACTTGTCCAAAAGAAAGTGTAAGATGAAGCTTGAATGAAGACTTACTGCTAGGAAGATGAAAACTTTAACTATATTTCATTTGTGTCATTTATTAATAACTATTTTCTTTGCAGCTTGCTTAGATTGGTACAAAGAAGTTTACCTGCTATTGTTAACTTGCCTGGACTGACTGACTGCTGAGCTGACACTGGGACTGTTAGACTGGAAGTGGGACTCATGCAGTGTGGGTTATGAATTCATCTATTCAGCTTGGAAGCCATGCAAAAGATTCTGATTTGAGGCCAGGATTGAGCCATTATAATTTGCCAGAAGCAATATATCAGGTAAGTTAAGTCAAAATTTTACCTTCTTCAACATTGAGTTGAGTTATTTATAAACCCTTAACTGTTTTAATCCATCTATATTCTCCTTAGACATTTATATGAGATCTGGATAAGCTCCTCGAATTACATAGTTTTGCTCAATGCAGAACAGCATAGCAGATTATTTTTCAGTACGGTAATATGTAAAATCATGAAAAGTTTTCAAGAGAAAGAATGCTGATTGCTCTGTAGTGATGATTCTGTTGAAAATAAGTCCAGTACGTACAATTCCTTGCAGCTAGAAAGTAATATATTTGTAATTACAATCTCTGGGGTTTGTTGCTAGGGTTATCTTAATGCAAATGTTCAGTTGTTGCTTGGGTTAATAGAATTACATAATATGGTGATAAATTTGTGTAACTTTAAACTAATGAAATAGCTAAACTCTATATTTTCTTTGAAAGAGGCCTGATTACCTTAGTATGACTTTAAATGTGTTTTTAATAAGCTGACCATGTGTGCACATGAATATATATGTACGTATGTATATATGCATAAGAAAGGTAATAGTGCAATGTTTTTGATGAAATTCGGCGACACAGTGTAATTGTGCGACTGCATCAAACTACATTCCAGGTGATTAGTTTATATACAGTTGTGCAACACCAAGAGATAGGTAGTACCTTATATGCAAGTGTGCATTAGGTTAGGGGTTAGGGTAGTAATAAAAAGGGTTTGTTTAGGGTTGGGACAAATACTACAGAGGTTAGGTTCAGCCAGGTCAAGTTTTTTTTCTCATATTTGAATGGCATTTTAAAGTGACAACAATCATAGTTTCAGAATTTAGAATTATTCTGAAACTAGTAAATATATATTTCAAATATATTTCTCCAAATTTCCATTGAGCCAAAACTAAAGCCTAAATTGCCAGTTTTTTCTCTGATTAAAATGCACATGTATTACCATAGTACATAGTGATCATCAATGGAATATTGTGACAACTAAAGGACATTTGAAATGTTAAGATAATAACACCCAATGGTGTTTTGTTTTTGTTTTATGTACAGAAATATGAAGAGAATGGCATCAAAAATTTATTTGAATGGCAACATCAGTGTCTGCAGCTGCCAGATGTTCTACAAGGACGCAACCTGGTTTATTCTGCTCCAACTTCTGCCGGTGATCATTTATTCCAGCTGATGTTATTCAACTAAAACATCAATTTGTTCCACACCATGTAAACTTGATGTACCGTACCTATTCAATATATATGTTGTTAAGAATATGGGTGGAATTGGCATATGCACATGGGTTTCTAGAATATTTTTAGTATCCTAATATCTATCATATCATGAAAATTCCACTTCATGGACTCATTTTTATTGCCATTGGTTATCCATTTCCATGATTGAAACTGATTGTATTTCTTTACATCTCATAAGCTTGCATTTTGATTTCTTATTGAATTTCCATTCAATAACCAGCTCCTATAAAGTTGTTCAACCATGATGGAAGGTACAGGTTTCAATTAAATATTGTGCTCATGTTTAGTTTATTGAAATGTTTTTCCACTTCATTTTTGTATTAAATACGTTTTTATTGCGCAGGCAAAACTCTTGTGGCAGAACTTCTTCTTCTTAAGAGAGTACTGGAGACCAAGAAGAAGGCAATATTTATTGTGCCATTTGTGTCCATGGCAAAAGAAAAAACAAATTATTTGCAGGTGAAATTGCGAATCATTAACACAATCACTAAATATAGTCCTTGTTTGTCACACAGTATTATCAAAGTTTTAGTTTTCCACATAATATTTTGGCATATCTTCATCATTCATACTATGTATGTTGCGATTTTCAGATATGTTTAAAATTTGGCTGTTGTACTTTTTCCAGTAATCATACATGTTCTGAAAAACAAAGAATGACTCGTCTGTCCTTGTGCATCACAAGCGCCACATTTTGGATATTTGCTTCATCTACTAAACAACACTATTCATTGATTGTCCGTATAGAAATCAAAATTCAATAGTTCAACAATCAAATACAATAGAACTAGTCTGTCAATTAATATTGTTCGGTGTCACAACATTGACAATGAGAGAGCAAACATTGACAAATGAACCAATTGGTTCATTTGTGACTCACATTCTGCAGAAGGAAGAATTATCTTAATGAGAACAACCAATTCCTGTTTTAGATTTGAAATCATTGCAATTGAAATATATTTGGTTATTGTTCATCGACTTGTTGATATTTTTTATATGCTCTGATATAGAATATCAAAGACTTCATGTAATGAGCCATAAATGCAAATGGAGTTTCTTCTTAGCTTCTGATTCTCAATTTCTGCTGCTAACTTATAAAATTTTACATTTTTAATGACCTGCCATAATTGCATTTGCACTTTTTTAACTTGTTATACAATATTTAAAGTCGCTTCATTGCCATTTGAAAACATTAACCACCTGTTTTGTTGATATTCCATGAAATATTGTTGATGTGCAGCGGGTATTGAGCGGTGGTGGGGTGGTGGTTGAGGGCTTCATGGGGGGACAGGTGCCTGCTGGAGGCCTCACTAAAGTTGATGTGGCTGTTTGCACCATAGAGAAGGCTAATAATCTATGTAACAGGTCAGTGTCTCTATTTGGATGCAATTTTGTCATACCTGTTTATATTTTTGTGGTTGTACTCTAATTTCCTTCTTATATTTGTTTTACTGAGTTAAGTTGTGGAATGGATTTTATTGAGTTTCTAGCATTTAGCATTTATCAATTGCACACAAAAAATTGATGGCTTCAACAGAGATCGAAAGAACCCAAAATATGCACCAAAAAGGAAGATGGTGACAACAGGCTGGAATTCTAGGATAGTGCATAGAGTTAGTCATTTTTGTGCTGATACATGTCCATCCCCAGACTGTGATTGGTTGTAAGATTGTGATATCATCCTCTCCAGACTGTGATTGGTTATAAGATTGTGATGTCATCCTCTCCAGACTGTGATTGGCTGTGGGATTGTGATATCATCCTCTCCAGACTGTGATTGTTATGTCCAATATGTTCTGTGTTCTGGTTAATTTAACACCCCTCTAAAATTCCAGCCTGAGCCTGACAATGATAACAAGAAATACAGTACAAGATTCTTATTATGCAGGATGATGCAGGAGGGAACGCTGGGTGACATTAGCGTTGTTGTGGTTGACGAGCTTCACCTGGTGTCGGATGGGCAGAGAGGTTACCTGCTGGAACTCTTGCTCACCAAACTACGCTTCTCTTCTCTCAAAGTAAACAGTTTGGGTTATTGCCTGATAGTTTTATATGCTTTTTAATGTTGTACACTAAATTTGAAGCACAAGTTATCATTTGTCTGGATTTTTGATACACGGTATAAAAATTTCCTAGACAAATCCTAAGTGTGAAAAAGCTGGGAATTTTTTGTTGAAGCAGCGGGATCACTGCACAATTAGCCATTCATAACGGCTCTGTTATCCATTCTTTACGACTTAAGCATTGTGTTCAAAATCTGTTCATGAATTTTTTTCATTCCAGGCTGAACGTCTTCAACTGAGTGGGCACGAGAAAACCAATACTTTATTATCAACTCATGGTGACGCTTTAGAAGGAACTCCTTTACTAGTCTCACAACAGGGGCATCGCGAAAACAGACACCACTCGTTATTTTTCTCTCAGGAAAATGGCGGCACAGACACGGCATCTACAAATAATCATCTCTTGAACTCCAAGTTTAGGCGCCTACAAATCATTGGCATGTCTGCTACTTTGCCGAACGTGTCCTTGCTAGCAGAGTGGCTAGACGCAGCTCTCTATGTGACCGACCATCGCCCTGTGCCCTTGACACATCTCCTCCTCAATGAGGGCTCACTCTTCACTACAGACATGAAACTCATCCAGAAACTTCCCTACGAAAAATCGGCAAAAGTGTGTTTCTGCTACTGGGTCGTAATAAATGAGCTCTATGTTTCTTTTAGTATAACCGGTATCAATTTTTCGATCAAATTGTTAAATAAGCATTTTATAAAAGTTTACCTCTCTTATTAAGGTCATTTCTACTCATTTTTCAAATATTTCAGTTTCTATAATGTGCCGACTATGCTTGCATTCTAAACACTAAAATTGTTTTTACTTCTGATGCAGCTCAGTGGGATGTAGGTGTGGTAGGTACGTATCTAATACAGCCAACTCGCCATACATTCTGTTTACAACAAAGATGCATATGTGTTGATATTTTTTTTAATTGGTCTATGAATGGCATTAATGGCAGGTTACCGTAATTGCGCATTTTTTTATTAGCTTTGTTATTGGCCAGGACCCCGACGGAGTGCTTGGGCTGTGTGTGCAGACGCTGCTGGAGGGCTTCTCGGTCCTGGTGTTCTGTGCGTCACGAGCTCGCACCGAGTCCCTGGCCGTGGCCATCGCCAGACACGTGTACACGCTCGGCAGCTCTGCCTCAGGTAGTGTATAGCTCTGCCTCAGGTAGTGTATAGCTCTGCTTCAGGTAGTGTATTGCTCTGCCTCAGGTAGTGTACAGCTCTGCCTCAGGTTGTGTATAGCTCTGCCTCAGGTAGTGTATAGCTCTGCTTCAGGTAGTGTATAGCTCTGCCTCAGGTAGTGTACAGCTCTGCCTCAGGTAGTGTATAGCTCTGCCTCAGGTAGTGTATAGCTCTGCTTCAGGTAGTGTATAGCTCTGCCTCAGGTAGTGTACAGCTCTGCCTCAGGTTGTGTATAGCTCTGCCTCAGATATTGGGTATGGTGAAGCCTAAGCTTCAGCAACAAACCAATATGGCCTAATCAACCCTGACTCCATTACACTAGTAATTTCATGTCATTGTAGTTCACTAATTACTCCGTCCGTGGTTACAGTCAGTAAAAAAAGATGCAACGTTTTATCTATAAATATCATTACCTTAAGCCATGCTATTCATTTATATGCTGAGTAACAAGAGTGAGAATCAGTTTACTGAAGCTAAAATTCCTTTCTTCATTGTTAACTAAAATGGTTTAAGATTTTTCACATTGGTAACTACGATTAGTCAATTACCAAATTAAAAGTTCCATCAAATTTCCTTGGTGCTGCAGTGGCTCCGTGCCATGAAGCGATCAGAAAGACGTTGGATGCGGCCTCCCTGACGCGTGTGCTGCAGGTGCTGCACGACTCTCCTGCTGGGCTCGACAAGACCTTGGCCTGCAGCCTGCAGTATGGCGCCGCCTTCCACCATGCAGGTGTACATCTTACCTATCGTGTTGTTCAGTCGTGTTGTTCAGTCGTGTTGTTCAGTCGTGCTGTTCAGTCGTGTTGTTCAGTCGTGTTGTTCAGTTGTGCTGTTCAGTCGTGTTGTACCGGTACCTCAATTAAAATTACCCCACTCTTCATGTGTTGCTTATGGGCACCTCAATTATTAATAATATTTGACTTGTTTAGGTTCGTTGTTTTGGGTTTTAATTGTTTAATCTGTTGGGGATGAGGCATGGTAAATATCATTTGATTTCATTGCATTTGACAGTTATTTGTGCGCGCAGGACTGACTACAGAAGAGCGGGACATCATCGAGGCGAGCTTCCGGGCTGGCATCGTGCGGGTGTTGGTGGCAACCTCAACCCTGTCTTCAGGGGTGAACCTCCCCGCCCGCCGTGTTATTATCCGCTCGCCCTTCTCAGCCGCGGGGCGCCCTCTGGACCCTCTGGCCTACCACCAGATGGCGGGGCGTGCCGGCAGGAAGGGTGTTGATACCCAAGGTCAGTTACTGGGGTTTACAGTAATAATTATCTCTCATAATTAAACATGCGTTAACTTTTTTTGTGTAAGCAGACTGACACAATCGTCCAATTAAAATAGTTTTCACAAGTTAAAGTTTGAAGCTCATCGTCTAGTTTGGTGTAAATGAAAAAATTCTTATCTTTTGGTGTGTTTTAAGACAAGCTTCAGTTTTCCGTTGCTTAATAGAAAATGAAGGAAAAATTACCTTTTACAGATGAGAAATAAAGTGACAAATTCTACTTTTTAATTTATTCAAACCCAATGTCATACTCTAAATGACAAGTTCCAATTCGTTATTAACATAATGATTATGTACTTTTAATGAAGTATTCCCTCTTGCTCGTAATTTTAGTGGCGGGTCTGTTTCCTGTGCTGAAGCTTGGCTCTGGGTTATCTGCTCTCTTCAATTGTCAGCTGATGGCTGTTAAATGTTATTAATTTCTTGTCGTTTCTCCGTGTCATCGCTTCTTGTTAAATTTTACTGTTAATTAGTATATTATTGATTCTTATGCTGATTATTTAGTATAAATTACTATTATTATACGATATCTCATATCAGGTGAATTATCAATATTATTGTACCGGGCAGGCGAGTGCGTGCTGGTGTGCAGCGGGCGGCAGGAGCTGACGGTTGGACGTGAACTCGTCACGGCGCCTCTGCCTCATGTCACCAGCTGCCTCACCGCCCACAGCCTCACCTCAGCCCTGAAGAGGGCGTTGCTGGAGGTGAGTAACGCTGCCTCATTGCCCACTGCCTGGTGAGGCCCTGAAGAGGGCGTTGCTGGAGGTGAGTAAGGCTGCCTCACTGCCCACTGCCTGGTGAGGCAGTCTGTGGGCGGTGGATGTAACTAGGTGAGGCGTGTGACGTTATGAGTGAGTTGTGAGTGTGGCGTGAGTCGTGGTCGTTAATTACGCCTGTTACTGATGATAATAACCAGTCGTGCGCACTACGCACCACTGGGTGTGCCGAACTCATTATTGAATATACTGGAGTATATGTGTTGAATATACCTAACATACATATTGCTGAAGAAAAACTTAATGTGTTCAATAACACCCCTGTAGTTATTAATATGCTCATCAATGTATCATTTGCTGCAGGTTGTCGTGAGCGGCGCGGCGACGTCGCTCCCTGATCTCCTCGACTACTGCAGGTTCGGTCCGCTAATTTCATTGATATTTGGGGGGAAACACTGATAGATTTCTGTGCAATGTTCATGTAGTAATAATCGAGCATAACTATTGATACTTATCCCTGTCACATGATACAAAGAAGATTCAATACATAACTCGTGTGGGTAGCAACGGAAGAATTTAAAATTGAATCCTCAGCCAATAAATATCCTATATTTTTTATTATGTGACGAGAAGAGTTATTGCATTAATTTTATTACAGGAATTTCTTTTGGCATGAATTTCTTGTCTTATAAGAAATATTTAGGCTATTTTTTCCTTTTTTTGATAACAGGAAAATTTCTCAAGATATGGAGAAAGTCCCAAATTTGTGATACATTTTAATATGCGCAACTACGGTATAAGCAGCAGCACAATTGCAAAATTGATCTTCAATAAAAAGCCAATTTGCGTGTGATTGCTACTAATGATTGCTACTTCCAGGTGTTAAACACTTTAAAATGAGGAAAATCTTACAGAAATTCCGCGTAACTTGCTCTATAACTCCTAATATTTATATCTCTCTCTAATTCTGTATACAGAATGATTCAATGAAGCTGAATTTGATTTAATTTTTATACCAAAGAATTATGAGCATTACCTACTTATTTAAATGTTGATATAGATGTTAATACTACAATGGCCCCAGTTATTGCCTATGTGACGCATTCTCTCACATGCTTTACTACGATTATACCCAAAACTTGATATTAATTCTAATTCCCGCCCTATCTGTATTGTTTACACAAACTTTCTTTTAATAAAACATTAATTTAAACACACTCAGAAACATGTGAAACTTTATCAAAATATCGAGGTATTTTTAGCGCTCTTTCTCATTTATGGAAAAATGCACTATTGTGCTCGCCCTGTCCGTCCGTCCGTCCGTCTGTCTGTCCGACCGTGACTTCACGTTTTCGTCGACGAGAAAATGCGCTCTCTGTCACTCACTGCAGTGAGTATACTGAGTTATATTGTTTTCCTTAGTGTGAGTCATCTTGACCCAGTAAAATATCGCCGAAAGTTTGTTATGTGCAGGAAGTGTTTCACTATTCAAATAATATTATCAAGTTATTTCATTTGAGTGCAGGTGTACGTTGCTCGCGGCCTGTATTGCTGAGCGTCGTCGTGATGACGGCGCGGGTGACGACGATGGTGTAGGTGGACTGGAAGGCAACACTGTTCAGTCGTGTATAAAGTATCTCCTTGACAACGAGTTCATAAGGTGGGGCCATTCTCAAGTTTCTATGACATCTACAAACTTTTTTAACTTAATTTAGAAGAATGTTCCTTTTACGTTTGATGTTTAAAACTATAATTTCCCGCTTTATAATGGTTTTGGCATTTTTTAAATATAATGTTCACCTAATTCATCACTTACTTCTGCCCTGCCAGGTAATTGAATGACAAGAAAACCAATGATTTACAACCGGTCAATTTTTACCACTGTAATTTGTGTGCTTGTGGAGAAAATTCATTGATAATATAGAATAAATTATATACGAACAGCAGTAACAGCGGTTAATATATCAGTAGACAACGATTGTCTTTAGTCTCTACCGGTAACTGTCGTTACCGAGCGTGTAGGTACGAATAGTATAGGAAAATGGTTAATCTATTGACAGGAACCGCGTCAACGGTAAATGAATGTACAGTGAAGAGGTTCTAGAATCCGAATTCGAGTGAGGATAACCTGGTGTTGTACTATCGAAACTCGCCTAACTACACATTGAGGCTCAAGTACACAACTAGCGCCTAGGTACATGTAGCGGCCTTAGTACAAGTATCGGCCTAAGTACACATAGCGGCCTAAGTACGCGTAGCATCAACTTCTCGTCTGTGATCGGTGGGTTTAGCTTGATAATCCGTCAGTGATTGACTGACCTGGCCCTATACTTTCAAAAAAGTTAAGAGATCGTAAGTTCATCAGCCAATCATTGACGGCCTTTCAAGCAAAATCCACCAATCATAGACAAGAAAATAGAACGTAAGTACTTACGTTCACTTCGAACGTAAGTACTTACGTTCTTACTTAGTACTTACGTTCACTTAGAACGTAAGTACTTATAGAAAATAGAACGTAAGTACTTACGTTCACTTAGCGAGTTTTGAAAGTATGGCGCCTGGTTACTAACTTGTAACTCTTATCTCTTCTGGGCAGTCGGTCTGGGGAGGAGCTGAGCAGCTCGCCGCTGGGGCGCGCTGTCCTGCGCTCAGGCTTGTCTCCTGACGAAGGTCTGCTCGTCTTCGCAGAGCTCCACGCCGCCCGTCGCTGCCTCGTCCTTGATACTGACTTCCACCTCGTCATGCTCGTGAGTGATGCTCACTTCCACCTCGTCATGCTCGTGAGTGATGCTCACTTTCATCTCGCCATGCTTCTGAGTGATGCCGGTAAGACTATAAAGTACTTATGGCAAGATGTTGTAAAGAATTAGTCGTGTAAGTACAAGTATGTTGTAGTTTAGCTTCATTTGAGGTAATGGACTCCTGTCTCCAGGTGACGCCGATCTACATAAGCTGTGAGCCCGACTGGCTGGCGCTGCTGGGGGTGTGGGAGGCGCTGCCTGCTGCCATCAGGAGAGTGGCGTCCCTGCTGGGCGTCAGGGAGAGCTTCATCGTGCAGGCTGTCAAGGGCACCATCAGCATAAAGGTGGGTCATGGGTCACCATCAAGGTGCAAGGGATAATTCCATTCAGTGGTAATCATGTGTCACCAGAAATGGTCGGAAAGCTCTAGTCTTAGCAGCTTAGAAAGTAGACAATTCCCACCTGCCTTGCTTTACAGGCGGCACAAAATTCCAGTCATAATTAAAAAAACAGTATTTTAATACCAATCAACGTATATAGATCCCTCATGATACATTTTTCAAGTATCTCCCGAATCTCGGTGTTATGTACAGGGCCAACAGTGAAAGAAAGACTGGGCCGCCTGACATAAAGAATTCATGTTATTCACGCGATTTTGTCATCACGCGATGATTGACTACAACTGTAAACCCTCACAATAGGCTCTTCTTCGTGGTACTTGAGCCAATGTTTTTACAGAAGACCAAACATTATAAAATTGTATCACCAAATTAATCTGAGTAGTAGTCATAGGTTCTGTATCAATCATCGATGAACTTCCATACATATTTACGCAACCCAATGCTGTTCGGATAATCACTCAATTATTTCACTTTCAGTCTGAGCAACAGGCGACGCAGTTACGTCTGCAGAAGCGCTTCTATACGGCATTAGCCCTACACGACCTACTGCAGGAGGTGCCGCTACCTGACGTGGCTTCTAAATTTAACATCAACAAGGGGCTGCTTCAGAGTCTGCAGCAGTCGGCTGCCACCTTCGCTGGTGGGTTCTTCTCCTGCATCCTTGCCAAAAACATTGACCATGCAGTCAATAACTGAACTGATGTGTCCCATCACCCATTGATGCAGCATATTGTCTTCTTTCAAATCTCACTGAAAGGAACGGTAACTTTCCGCGCAAATGGAGAAGGAAGATTGAGCGTGGGCAAAGAAGACTGACATTTCGCCAGCGCAAATGGAGAAGGAAGATTCAGCGTGGGCAAAGAAGACTGACATTTCGCCATTCTTCTTTCTTAATCTGTTTCCACACTATCTAACCCTTGCCTCCCTCCAGCCAGAACTTTTCTGCTTGCTAATCCTTCTTTCTTCTTAACCATCAAGTCGAGTATCTGACTCCAGAGTATCTGAGTATCTGACTACAGCAACATGTTGCAGGGATGCTGAAGGTGTATCTGACTACAGCAATATGTAGCAGGGATGCTGAAGGTGTATCTGACTACAGCAACATGTTGCAGGGATGGTGAAAGTGTATCTGACTACAGCAATATGTTGCAGGGATGGTGAAGGTGTATCTGACTACAGCAATATGTTGCAGGGATGGTGAAAGTGTTCTGCTCGTGTCTGGGATGGCGCAGTTTATGGCTGCTGGTGCAGGAGTTCGAAGGCTGCCTCCAGTTCGGTGTACGTCGCGAGCTGTGCGACCTGGCGCAGCTGCCGCACGTGTCGAGCAGCACCGCGCGACGTCTCTTCTCCGCAGGCATCACCTCCCTGCACCAGCTGGCCACCACCTCCCACAGACAGCTCGTCGCCCTGCTCGAGAAGAGCGCCCCTTTCGCCAGGTGGAGTCTAATCATTCACAGAAGACATGTATAATGCTAAGCGAAAGAGAAAAAATGATTAGTCAGAAAAACATTAATACTATAAGTAAAAATTATGTATTTGGAATTGTGTTAATGATTTAGTCAAAAAATGAGATCGTTTCAAATTAACCTAAACTGAAGAAAAGCGTCCTCCTACTTTGGTAACTAGAAAAAATATCCGTTGTGCGATGTTCTTTAAAGTGGAATGTAAGAAGTCCTAGTGGAGAATGGCATTAAGATGAATTGATCAGTGAGAATACTCGTCGCCAATTGCTCAAAATGTTCAACCACTTCTGAGTCATTCATTCGAAAATGCATTATAAGTTCGTAACGTAATAATGCGTTGATTGTTAAGCCTGACCTGTGTTTTGCAGCGATCATTTCTTTTGTTCTGAAAATCTTGCTACATCTAACGATTCAAAATTGCCTTAGGCAGGGATAAAATTTCAGGTCCTCAGGTTCATAAACCCTCATTTTAACACATAAAACTTCACAAGTTCTAAAATACCTCGATTTCTCTTACAGTCGTGCCCATGGAGACCAGTCAGCTGCTCTTAAGAAGAACAAGCAGAAGCGAGAAGAAGGTGGGCCAGAGGGCGGGGGCCTGGTATGGGTTGAAGGAGTGGGCCTCACGTCTATTGCTCAAGAAGCCCACCTCATCCTAAATGATGCCCGCACCCACCTCATGGTAAGTGGGCCTCACGTCTATTGCCCAAGGAATTGATTTTATGTGTTGAATCATGGTAAAAAATTAAGCTGTCTAAACTTCAACGCTTTAGAAATCTCGGGACGCTGTCCGTTTTTTACGAGAAATATTACTTGTTTCATGATACAACCAATAATTAAATGAAATGAAAATTCAATAGATTGAAGGTAAAATTCGACGATTTTTTTTTTCCAGAAAGAGATCGGTGCTCCTGAAATAAAATGGGATGAAAATAATTCCAATTTAGAGACGAGTTCTGAGTCGTCGATTAAGAGCACTTCTGGGGATCGAGCGTCAACTGAGGTGAAAAATTTGGGAACTCAGAACTCCTCACCACATGAAAAAGCGCTCGAACCGCCGTGCTCTAACACTACGGAACAGTCCCGCTGCGCTTCGTCAAACAGTCCTGTGGTAAATGCAGAGGAGCGTCAGTCGAACGCAAAACCCAAAGCGTGTGCCAGTAATGAACACGCTCCAACCGCCACTAGTAACAGTAATCTTGCTGAAATGAATGAAAACGTTGATGAGGAAGTGAATATAGAAAACAATTCTACTGAAGGCACAAACATTATTGGATCTGCAGGATCAAGTGCTGCAAAATGTACTAAAGATATTCCGTTAAATGGAGAGCATCTCGTTAGTGGGAACGGAATAAATTCAAGCAAAATAAACAGTGTTAAGCGAGTGTTCAAGATTGACAAGATTCCCGTACAACGTCCTAAACCCTCATGCATTCCTTCCAAGAGAGCCACTACAGAAGAGTATGTTAGTGGGGCCTTGCCGGAGGTGCCATCCAATGAAGCCCCTGCATGTGGTTCTCGTGTTCAAATGGACGTGGCTAACGTAAGAGGAGAAGAACCTGGCAGTTTTGTCTCATCTCGAGCACAAGATACGCCGCACCGGACCATCCCTGCAACTTCACTGAAAACTCCGCGTAAAGACTCAATGGAAGAAGACATGTTTGCTGACGAGATTAATTCTTCCGTGACTAGCTCGTTGAATGGGTCAGTTGATGCAGTACCGCCAGCGATCTCTACGAATTCCGACCTTTTCAGTGAGGATGAAGACGTTTTTAATTTACCGTCGACAGGTCAAATCTGTGGTGTCAGTCAAGATCCGCCATTATGCCGAAATTTTGAGCAAATGAATGAAAATTCACCTAAACTGCCTGCAAAACCTGGACCCGTAGAATTTGTCGCTAGACCGGTGACCGATGTTGATCTCGTGAACAATGAAAAACGTAGTCGACCGGTAAATGGGAGCGATCCGGAGCGTGTATCTGGATCTGTTTTACGAGGGTCATCAGGCTTAGTAACCGATAACGAGTTCAACGCAAATAATTGCCAAGATAAACTAATCACGAGAAATCTAGCTGAAGTCTCTAAGAAATCAACTTTAGCTTCACACCAGTCAGAATTATCTAAAAATTCGTCTGAAAAAATCTCTCAGGATGCCAACCGGCCTCTAGAACTGGAGGAGTCGTTGCTGGCTTTATCCCTTTCCCCGTGGACAAATGAAACGCCTCTAGTGAACAGCATCCCTGCAGTGAGCGATGAAATGGACTGCAATCATGATGAACTCTATGAGAATAATTTGCCTCCTTGTGACCAAAGCTTGCAGTTTAATTTATCACACGAAATTAGCCAAAGGTTACGCAGTGTTCCTGGAAGCAACATGGGGCAAAAAAAGGCTGCTGTTGGAACTGCTTTCTCAAGCAAAAAAGATAAAGTTGAATGCAAAGCTGTTTGTGATCTGAACGAAAAAGATCCAATAGCAGACGACTTAAAAAGGACTCGAGTGAATTTCGAAGACGAATTTGATGACAGCTTAGGCATAAGTGGCTCTAGAATTTGTTCGCAGGCAATTACTGATGAATTTTTTCACCCAAAACCTCTTCAAGATGACCCCTGTGATGAAAAGAGTAGCAAGCGACCAAATGTGAATTCACTGCTGAAGAGCAGAAGAATCTATGAGCCACAGCTCGACGTTCTGCCGATCGAAAGTTCTTGGTCGGAGTTGAAAGATGACCGCGTGTTAGGTTCACTCTCGGATCTTAGTATATACGATGCCATTGATGACCGAAACTACAAAAGCCCTGTAATTTCGGCAAAATCTGAGCAGCAAAATGTGGAAAATCATAGTAGAGAACAAGCCGTTGTTAACAAGTGTGTTGTTGGAAATACCGAGCAGTTTTTTGTTAATACACAACAAATGGCAGAACCACACGCTGGAAATGGAAAATATTCTTTCAGTGAGATAGACATGAGCGACCCCAACGACATGTCGGCTCTGCTAACACCCGACGGTAAACTACCCCAGCAGCTTGACACGTTCATACCGCCTGATCCTGTAACTCTACGTCAAGTTTCAACATTAACTTGTGCAATTAAGTTCCCTCAAGCTCCCGAGATCGTCATATCGTCTACATCTACTGATATCCAATGTCCAAATTCCTCGTCAATTCTTGAAAAAACTCTGCGTAAACCTGATGAAGCTTTTCGTCCGCCAGCAGCTGTCACGCGTCCTCCGTTACTTCCCAAGTCTCAGGTCAATCACACCGAGAATACGGATAAGAAAAAGCTCAGTAGCAGAGACGAGAGCACGCCTCTTAAATCATGCTTCCGGTACGATAAAAATAGCACGCCCATTCATTTCATCAATTCAAAGCAGTCAAAAAACTCCGAGACTGTGAAAAGAGGTAAAGAAAATTATATCGGAATTACAAGCGATTCGAATAACACGTCAGCAAACGTTCAACGGTCTAAATCAAAAGATCTTAACAAAGCGTTTGATTTAAGCTCGAGCTCTGAGAATGATTTTAGTCGCTTGGTATCAATGGAAGAAGAATTACTCGATAATATATCTGGCATTGAACCTTTGGCGCTTAGTAAAGCTTGTCCTGACCGTGACCTAAGTAAGAACAATACTTCGCTCAAGACCGCTTCACCTTGTGCTCTAACACTAGTCCTCTCCGCGGACCAATCTTTTTCTACGGAATTAGATGACAATGATGTAGCTCTTGACAAAGCACAAGAGTTAATTTTCGACGCATCTCCTGAGAAAGAATATGTGAATCACAACGTTGCTTCTGCGGATGAAAAAATTAGTTCAACGAACGTTCATCTTGCGGATCTGAACAAAAAAGCGGCTGAAGATTCAAAAGTGACAGTTCAGCTCGAAAAGAAAGAAAGCTACTTACATAAAAATAAATCAAATCTCAACTATATTGTATCTGAAAAAAACACACGTTCACTTTCGTCTGACCGAGTAAACGGTTGCACTGTTCGCATTATCGATGTTTTTAAAAGTTCAAATTTATTGAAGGCATTTCTAGATAAACTAGACCAGCAAGAAAACTTTTCCTTAGTTCTGCTGCGCAATGAAAACTCTTCCCGTCACCAAGAAGCCGTAATAGAAGAAGAAGCTAGTCAACAGGATATGGAAGAGATGATTCCTGAGGACGAGTGTGTTGATACAGGGCTTCTAGGGATTGTTGTAGCGTGGCAGGCGAGCACAGCTTATCATCTCAGTCTGGCTTCAGCGAGCGGTTAGTTATGCGTATCTATGTAGAACTTTTTTATTATTAGCAGCATTTCAGTGTCATGGTCCCTTTAACATTGAAAACATAGTTTCATCAATCAATTTGCGTCTGATTTCGATTACATTTATTAAGCGAATTTTTCGAAGCGGAAATTATTTCTGATATCGGAGATTTGTGATGGGAAAGGTTTTCGGTCCTTCAGACCAAAACGCAAAAGTATCTGCAGGCAGGGAAACGTTAGGAATTTGAATTTTCAAATTGCACATCAAATGAACAATTTTGAAAGCATTATTTAATTATCCTGAAATTTGGTGATCTGATCCTCATCCTTCCATTACCGCTGACGTTTTGTTGTGCGATTAAATTTTTTTATATATGTTTATTTATTCATTTGTAGTCACTTTCCTATTATTTTTTTATGCAGTCTGCATTGACGGATCATTATGTATCATTTTTATTATCATGGACTTTTTTTATATCCCCCAGGTGAGAAGGTATCGCTGGAGGAGCGCATGTCGGCCATACGTCGCATCATCGTTGCAGGTCACAACTTATGTTCTCTCTTGATGTTTTAAAATTCTTCTTATGAATATTGTGTGTGATGGCAATGTATCTTGAACGTCCTAACTCATCCTCTAGCTGATTTTTTATTTCCTATTGACTGATAATGTTGTATAGGTATTGAAAGGAGTGTGGAATATTGTTTACTGTTTTTATAGTTTGAACTCGACGATTGCAAGTATTTTCAGTTCGTGCTTCTTACTTTTTTCCAATTATTATCCACAAGTCTGAACTTTCTCACATTTCGTTTTTCACTTTAATACTTCACCTTTCTCGGTGGTAATTCAGTTCAATTCTACCTCAAGGTACAACCTATTGCTTCAATGACCTAATTTCAATTTTTAACCATAGGCTGTGGCTTCGCCGCGGTTCAGAATTGTTTCAGATTTCTTAATGAATTTGTTCTTCTGGCAGATCCTGACCACAGCACGAGGAGCAGTGGCAGGAGCCACGGCAGTGCAGTCCACGGCAGTGCAGTGGTTTGGGAGAGCTGCAGTGCAGTGGCTTCGCTTTGGCGAGCCACAGGAATTTTCTTTACTAGACCAATCAAGGACGTCGTGACCGCCGCTTGGCTACTGGGCTCTTCCGTCTTCAGCATCACAGCATTGGTAAAATATTGAGCTTCTTAAGCTCTTTGTTTGGTGAAAGTTACTTCCGTTACCAGGCCTTTAGAATACGAATTTATAAACTCTATGAATTATTGATCCTTTGATAAAATTTCTCTCTTCTTCTGCTGACGGGGCTCTCGTTACAAGGCGTTTAGGTACGAATAGTGTTACGATGGTTGATGTATCGGAGTGAACAATTGAAAAATGATGTTCACATAGAATACCTTAGCACATCAGTAAAAGATCGTTCGCGTTAGCATAGTCATTCTTCAGCTTACTTTTTAATTCTGTGATCGCCTTTTTCGGAGAAGTTACTTACGTTTATAGTAGAATTAGAGGATTAGGTTTTTGATCATTTAAGCAAATCACATGTATCACTGTCACGGTTACAATGAAACCAATTTATCCTGTCGTGATAGGAAGTTAAGAGATTTGGTCGTCATGATTAGAAATACCGAAAGTGTTTAGCGTTTCTAATTCTTTCCGCAGATTATCCTTTTATGGTCATAGTGCTATAGTGTGCATATATTTATTCTTATCGTCGCACGCTCATTAGAAGAATCTAGTTCCCATTGAAGAAGATACAATTCTTAATTGAATCAAATGAAGACTGTTGTTGACCACATCAAAAAATTATCAAGATTTGATATGAACTCTAATTTTCTGTTTCACAATAAATTTTCCCTTTATTCTATACTTGTGAAATCGAATTTTCCAATCATAGTTACTTTTCCAAACAGGCGGAGGAGCACGTACCTGAAGCTTCCTGGCTGTGCCGCGACGACGAGGTGCAGGCGCGTCATGATGGCCAAGGTTTGTTTGCAGTTCAATCACGCGGCAGAAAGTTTAGACATTCAAAGTGGACCGTCAGGAATGAAGGCGACATCACACTGATAGGAACAGATCAAAAGCTGAACAGTTTTTATATGAACTTTTGAGGTTAAATACTTATGGCAGATCCTGACCGACCATCACCAGTAAACCCTCCAGACATAGAAGAAGCAGTGCCAGACCTGCCAAAGCAGAGATCAGGAGAGCCTTAACACAACTGAGGAACACCAAAGCCCAAGAACCCGATGACATACTGGCAGAGACGCAGAATGCCAACATGTTGCACATACTGTTCCAGGAGATTCTAGGCCAACTGTAAGGAAGGACATCTCATAAAGATCCCTAAGAAGGAAGACCTCTGTCAGTTATAAAGTCATTACTCTACTGTCAGTTTCGGCAAGGACCTGAGGAGTGATACTGGAGAGACTGATGGATCCAGTGGACCAAACACTTCGAGACCAGCAGGCAGGCTACCGACAAAATCGATCGCGCACCGACCTGAAAGCAACACTGCGGTGCATCATAGAACAGTCCATCGAGTGGGACTTGCCTCTCTACATCAATTTCGTGCACTGCAAGAAAAATTTTTACGGTATTTACCGAGAGAAGCTGTGAAATTGCTGAGACACTACGTTATCCCGAAGAAAATTGTCAACCTGAGGCTCGAAGGATGGATTCATGTACCGGGTGTTGCATGAAGAACATCTATGTAACAAGAAGCTTCGAGGGAAGGACGGTTGTGAGGCCAGGCTGCTGGCTTTCATTGTTTCTGTTCCTTTTTACAGTCGAATGGGTGATAACTGATACAGCTAGCTAGCCACTAGCAAAAGGCGAAATGAAATTCAATGAAATTCGTGGAGCCAACTAGACGAACTTGACTTTTAGACGATCTTAGACTCCTATCCCACATTCACCGACCGACGCCAGTTAATTAATAAATCATCAGAGATGCAACTATCCCATTATAATGATTTGTTTTATGTCTATTAATGCTCTGTTTATGCGAATTAGCAGTGGATATACGAGAATGTTGATTCAAATTTTTAATTCCCTCGTTGCGTGGCAGTGGGAATAATAATCCTCTGTCTGATGTGACCCGTGTTCTGTGCAGTGAGCGCGGCTGGCCGTCGCGCGGCGCTGACGCTACTTGTGATGCAGGCCCTGGAGCTACGCCTGCAGCAGCGACACCTGCACCACCACTGGGTGAGGGAGGAGCTGTGATGTCTCTCTGCCTTCTCTCTGTCTTATTAGCTCCTGCGTCTTCTTTCTGTGGCAGTCTTGGATGTTTACATGTCTGTATGTTATCACTGTGTTTCTATGTCCTTCTAATGCTTGTATGTCTTCCATACGTTTCAAGTCGATGACGTCACTCATACGGTCTTCCCCTTCACTTTCTTCCTTATTTAGAGGAATACCCTCCCTTTGATTTGGAGGTAATCATTCATCATTTTGATACGAGGTGAATCATTCATCACTTCGATGAAAGGGAATCGTTCTTCACTCTGATACTGAGTACCTAGTCTAATTGCAGAGACTCTGGTAAACCTCAGGCTTACTGCCCAATTACTGTGGCTCGTGGAATGGAAGCCTTTCTTATTTTCATAGAGATGGAGGCATATAAATCTCTTTTAAATCTACTTCTACTTCATTTAGCGAAAATAATTATTAATTATTTTCCAGTTGCTCGTGGAGATGCCAGCCGCTGTTGTTCTCGCCAAACTGCAACTCAACGGCATGGGCCTCTGCCCTGAGCGCTACCAGGAGACCGTCACCTCCATCACTGTCAGTGGTTGTTAGTCACCATCATCACTGTCAGTGGTTGTTGTTAGCCGCCACCATCAATCACTGTCAGTGGTTGTTGTTAGCCACCACTATCACTGTCAGTGGTTGTTAGTCACCATCATCACTGTCAATGGTTGTTGGTCACCATCATCACTGTCAGTGGTTGTTTGTCACCATCATCACTGTCAGTGGTTGTTGCTAGCCACCACCATCACTGTCAGTGGTTGTTGCTAGCCGAATATTATTATTTATGGTTCTAATTCATTTTCGAATAGTCGAATCATAATACCCCTGCTTTTCTAAAGAGGAACTTGACGTCATCGGTGTCAATTAGAAGAAACGTTTTCTTTTGTGATGAATCGGTCAGTGATCATGCAAATATTTAGATTTATCAATAAATAACAACATTGGAGCTGGCGTCTGTATCCTATTAGTTTTTTCAAAAGTGAATATCGCTTTTCGAATCTATCTCACTATCGAATGATATAATTTTATATTATTATAATGGTATATATGAATGAAGCTAATGACGCTGCCATGACAGAAGCTGCTGGGGGAGTTGGAGTCTGAAGCCCACAGGGCGTGTGGCCGCAGCTTCAAGCTCAGCTCCTACACCGAACTGGCGTCTGTGTTATACAAGACCTTACGCCTTCCCCCACCCAGTGACTGGAGGTCCGTAGCTCCTCCGTCCTCCGAATGTATTGACTCATTTGTATTAGAACAAATTTTTTCGATTAATTGGGACAATCTTTAAATGTTTGAATCTTGATTTTTCATTCAATTTCGCCAGATTCACAACATTCTGTAATAAGTATGTGTAAATGAGTGCGTTATTGATGTTCTTGTTCGGGTCACCAGGCAGCGGCTGAGCAAGGAGTCCCTCAAGGCCCTGAAGCGCCACCACCCCCTGCCGGGCATCGTGCTCCAGTGGCGAAAACTCAATGCCGCTCTGATAAAGGTTTGTAATATTCCTACCATACTTTATTTCTTTGACATGATTCACGCCCGCTCATTATTTCATGGTTGTATTTCTGTATATTCTTTGCTCGGAAAAAAATAGCTCTGTGCTCCACGAAAATCTCATCAACAATTTTTTGATTTGGTTACTTTTTACAGTATCTTCTTCCACTTTTGCTGGGGAAAATCACTGCTATAATTCCATCTATTTAGTTTTAATAGTGTGTTTTTTATTAAAAAATTATATTTTTATTGTAAACGAAGTACGGGCTTTACCTGCTTCTAAATTATTTCATTACCGAGCAGATGTTAGTTCCTCTAGAGAAGCGAGCTGAGCACAACACGACGTGTGGTATGCGTCGCGTGTACCCGCGCTGCTACCGCCTCACAGCGACGGGCCGCGTCAACATGGCGGAGCCGTCCCTGCAGTGCGTCCCTCGTGACGTCACCATCACCACTGAGCCTCGTGCTGCTGGCGACGCAAATAAGTTCTCGACGCCCTTGATGCAGCTGCTCCTCACTGGCAAGAAGAACGTCAGTGCTTTACTATTAACGGAATATTCTCTGTGGATAAATCGAGCTTTGAATTCTCCTTATTGTAGCCACTCTAATGCAAGTTCTTTGTTATCAAGGTGACAACGAAATAGTTAAAAAGAATGCAGGTATAGACTGACTATGGAGACTGAGGATCAATTTTTTTTTTCTCCTATATGTGTTGGTATTCTCAACACATATTTATTTATTTATTTAGTCATAGCTCAAAGTAAACTGTTGCATACGATTACTCCGTTGCTAAGTGTAAAAAATATATAACTCGGTACTCACTGCAGTGTGTGACAGAACGCGCATTTTCTCGTCGACGAAAACGTGAAGTCACGGACAGACAGACGGACGGACATGGCGAGCACAATAGTGCATTTTTTCCATAAATGATAAAAACTCCCTAAAAAGACTAAATAATGAGTAATGTATTATTACTTACCAATACCCAGCTCAAAAGCAACGTTTTTTTTATCGTTACTTTGCTACCACTATAGGCGACGCCCAGTAATGAGTAATATATTACCTACAGAGACCGAGCTCGAAGCAAACTCGGGTGAGCTGCCGTCGTGTGATTGCTGCCAGCGCAGGCCGTGTGCTGCTGGCAGCTGACTACTGTCAGCTCGAGCTGCGGGTGCTGGCGCACTGCGCTGACGACGCGCGACTCAAGCGGCTGCTGGCAGAGGACGATGAACGCGACGTGTTCCTGCGCATCGCCTCCGACGTGTTCGGCGCTCAGCAGTCCGTCGTCGCGCAGCAAAGGGATCTTGCAGGCATGGGCAGCAAATCGTTGGCCATGCAGCTGAACGTCTCTGTGGAGGAAGCTGAACGCAAGCGTCAGGAGTTCCTGGAGGCGTTTCCTGGCGTGAAGGCGTTCATGGCGAACGCTGTGGCGAAGGCGCGCCAGAATGGCTTCGTCGCCACAGTCATGGGCCGACGCCGGCACCTCGAGAACATCGCCAGCCAAATCTCCACCCTCAGGAGTAAGTGACGAAATCTCTGAAGTGATGGTTAAAGTTGATCGAATTGGTGGACTTGACACAGTTGTGTTGATGACAATAGTTTAGTTTTGAAATAACTAGAGATGTTATCTCAAAACAAATCTATGTTAGTTGAATTATTTATTAGTTTATTTTTATGAATCTAATATTTTTCAGGTTTTTAATTGGAGCTGCAAATTAGAATTATCTTTCGGAATTTTATCCATCGTGAGATAAGTTGAAGGTATAATTTTTGTCTTTTTTTATTCGTGATTGCCGTGGAGAACAGTTTTTCACGTTTTTAGCGCACTTCCTCATTTATGGAAAAAATGCACTATTGTGCTCGCCATGTCCGTCCGTCCGTCCGTCAGTCTGTCTGTCCGTTCGTGACTTCACGTTTTCGCCGACGAGAAAATGCGCTCTCTGTCACTCACTGCAGTGAGTACTGAGTTATATTTTCTTTTACAAATGCCTTTCAATTTCAGGTCAAAGTGAACGGCAAGCTGTCAACAGCCTCATTCAAGGTTCAGCCGCTGACATCGTCAAGTCAGCAATGGTTAGCGTCGACGCAGCGCTGACGAGACGTTATCCTCATCAGCAGAGCGTTCTTGCTGACGTCCGCTCCTGCGTTGCTGGGGCCAATATCCACGAACATTTTAACCGTCAGGATAATCTTCGACCGCAGCTTAAAGTTCATTTTGTACTTCAATTGCACGATGAACTCATGTACGAGGTGCGTAGCAATGCTAACAAATTGCAGCCCCTTAGTTTTAATTTGGTTTCCGTCAAATTAAATTGTCCTGTTTCCGTCTATTAATTATAATTATATTAATTTGTCCTGTTTCCGTCAAATTAATTAACAATTAAAAGAGAAATTATACGATTTTTGAATAAGACTTCAGCAGAAATGGTTTCATTTTTTTCAAGTTTTCTCTCTTCAATTACCACATTTCAAAAAGTGAGATTGTATCATGTAATTTTATTTTGAACATGGGAGCCTCAATATCTTGTAGTACCAAAAGCAGTTTCTGGTGCAAACAAAATGATATAGCGCGTCATTGAGATTTTTGTGGGGGGTTATCTCGACCATTGTTCATAAATCAACAGGAGATATAAAGTTCGCAATTTTCATATTTTCGCCTCGTAACTTTCTCTATGGTGCCTAATAAACCTGGTTGGTTGGAGCAGGTTGCTGAGGAAGAGCTGCTGGCCGTGGCTGCGATCCTGAAGCACCACATGGAGAAGACCACACGCCTCGATGTCCCACTGCCCGTCAAGCTCAAGGCCGGTCCCACTTGGGGGGATATGACTGACCTCATCCTCTAGGTCTTCCATACCAGGGGGTGATGTTGACATCTAGTATCTGAGAACAATTCCCCGGTTGAGAATGTGACCAACCTGGACCTCAATCTCTCTTCTACTGGGCCTGAATTTCGTAGACTCCATATGCGTTGTACGTTTCAACTGTAGTCTTTCTCTGTACCTCATTGAACCCATAACTTCCTGTGCAGAGCATTAAGCACTTTAGTACAAAATATTTTACCGTTTGAAGTTTGTGTCAAATAGATATTCAATTTCTGCATATACATTATTTTGCAACTACTTTGAATGACTAAATTCCTTACACACTGTTTGATAATGCGTTCGACTTCCAATAGCGCATCGCATCGCAAACGTTGAGCTTTTCAGTATTTCACTGTCGAGAGCAACTCCGGGTGCTAGCCTAACTTTAAACATTTATGCTTCCACCTTGTGCCCCCGCTGTCTTTCAATGTAAGCATTAAATATGTCTCCATAAACGCAAGAGACTTTTTAAAACTAGATTGTTAGGTAGCCGAGATATCAAATTATATGTTTTTATTTCAGTAAAATAAGGTTTGACATAATATAACTTTGACAAAGTATAAAGAAGATCTTATGCTCAGGGAATCAATTGAAATTTTCGTATATTGTACCTTTTTACGATGAGTTTGTTCAGGGTTTTTTACTCAGTGAAACTCACTACAATGAAGTGTGATAATCAAACTGGAGAATAAATATTTTCATTACAGTGAAATATATTTAATCTTTGGGGAATGTGCCGTTGTTAATCAAAATGTATTCAGCATTTCTTGACCATTTTACTCAAACAGATGGATGTTATTTCCTATATTTTTAATAGTTTTGTTGAGCTTTGTTATCTACTCATTTTGGTCACATTGTGCTACTTTCTTGAGTCGATTTTTCAGTCATTTATGTGTTCGCCTTATGTGTTAATGTTTTTAACCACGTTGTTCATTTGTTAAAGAATCTTAATGTTTATTGAAACTTCCCGTACTCTGACATTTCAATCGTGTTTTTTATCATAGGCGTTAAATCGAACTGAACATATTGGGTATTCATATATTTTTTACTTGCTAGTTGTCATAGGTTTTTATTGTATTTAAAAAATGTTAGCATGGAATATCCGTTTTTAACGCTGGTTCAGTATTCATAGCCAACACCATCACTCGCGTGTTCTGTATGCTCTTAATATTTTGTGTGACATGATCCAAGTGCTGTATTCACTTCCTGATTATATATTTTGACTACAAGTTTTATAAAGTTTTAACTTCTTTACCGTCCAATGGGGATCAGATCATTCATCGTGTTATGTTATGGAGAATCAGGTCATGCCCCATGCTGTGTTAAATAGGATCACTGCATTCCTGATGCTGTGTTGAAGAGGATATGGGCATTCATCATGCTACGCTATGAAGGATCAAGTCATTCTCCATGCTGTGTTACAAAGTATATAGTCATCTCCTAGCTGTGTGATCTTCATAATCAAACTTATTTCGATCCTAAATAGATCCACAATATTTTTAATGCGCCCATAATAAAGTCGCTTCTTCGCAGAACTCAAACATTTTCGTGTATTTTTTGTGATTAAACAAAATAAAGGTAAAAAATTCTTGTGCTGTTTTCATATATCGATGAAATATTATTTAAGGCACAAATATTTCCAAATGCAACAGTTATTTATACCTACTGTTAGAAAATTGTAGTGCTGCCTTTGCCGTTCAATTGACTTCAAATTGTTAATTAAAGTTGTAATTAGGATTACAGATAATTTATTATAAAATCTCGAAAGTATAGCAACGCGTCCGACAGAAGACCAAATTCGTATGATCTTGCAACAAGGTTACGTATAGCCTACTTCAGCCGTAAATATACTTTCGTTTCCGCAACCTGCAGAATTTTCATGGTTTTCCCAGGTGTGTGAACTGACCCGAGATCGATCGTGTCTCCAGTACAGCAATCTGATTACGGGATATTATATTGCTCTTTGCCCATTTATACTCAGACCATTCAGAATACTTTCTGTGTTATGTTAAACGATGCACAAAGATAGAGTTATAGTAAAGAAAAAAATGCTATTTAGAATTGTATAGACTTGCGACAAATCTCCCAAGCTGCATCTCGAGACATTGACCCCATGCCTTTCGGTAAAGCCGAGGCACAGTTGCAAAATCAGCCTCAGCTTTAACGTGCGTTCTATTCTCGCTCAGGTTTACTCGCCCGAGAAACATCCTAAGCCTCTGTTTTCCGCACAGTCTCATTTGATCAATAGCATTAATCTTTCTCATTATTAAATTTCAAGGTTACGTAGTTGCCTTTTCGTTACTCATGCGAATGACTTCGTAGACAGTTGAAATATTTGCTTTGTTGAAATATTTGCTTTGTTGAAATATTTGCTTTGCTTCATATAAATTCTCATCAAGGAGTAGTTTTTAGTACATATCCCTTGATAAGTCGCTATAAATGTAAAAGTTTACAATTACAAATGAATTGGTATATGTTCGTGGCAGCAATGAACCGCCAATTTTCATTAATTTCCACTGAAACAGTTTTTTAGTGCTTCATTTAGCCAATAATACACAGAGAACACGTTTTCAAATCAAGGTTGTCGGAGCGACAGCATCTGATTTCAAATCTTGCTTTAACTATATATATTTCATTACATACTAGGTAAGATTTAAAGTCTCAAAGAAACGCTATAACTGATAAAAACCAACAAGGCCTTTGACCCAAAAAAGCAACTTCGACTTCTTATTCTCAAGGACGTTTATTGATTGTTGCTGCCAGCGTTGGTTACTATAAAACATGTCAATTATAGCTGGCCTTCCTCCACTGGACCTGTGAACACGTAATCTTGCCTGATCTTCAGCGCGGCTAAATATAGACGAGTCTCCGTGACGGTTAGTCAGACTATCTGGCGAGTTACCGTCTACACTCTACAGTTACACTCACGAATTCCTCCACTGATGCAAGTCCTACAGAAAAAAATGAAATCCGTTGAGGATTAAACTACCGAAAAATATAGATAAATACAGTTGACAATTATGTGACGTTAGAGTTAGATGATGGCCAATATTTGCCAGTACCTAGTCAAATTTCAAAGAAAATTCGTTTCGAAGCAACTTGTGATGGCAGCAAAAATATTCGTAGATTCCTTGCACGAAGTTATTGTTAAATGTGCTGAAGACATAACTCCAGCATTAACGCTGAACATACTGACTTGAATTTTCAGCTATGAAAGGAATATCGCTGTGCAAAGCAAGGCAAATCTGTCAAAACTAAACACAGAATCGGGAAACTGGAGTCAGATAGCATTAGCAAGTTGGCCAGTGCTCACTGGTCACCGAGGCGGCTCCAATCATGTGCCGAGGTGTCTTTGCTGTTAGGATGGATGCACAGCTTCTTGGTGGTGAAACTTCCAGCCCGCATTCCTGAGGTAAGCCTTTGAAATGAGTTACATCTCTCTCTGAATTGAATTTCTAAATAATAATAATAACTGAAATTTAAACCGTATTTCAAGGTATTTGATATTACTATCAATCAAGATTAATCTATCATAAGCGTTCCAAAGATTTCGCTTGGAAGTTTGAAATTTTCCTCAGTGGTACACCTTGTGATTTATCATGCGGTTGAGGGTGCCTTCAGTAAGACGCTTGCTAATAATTAAAGATCAAAGATGTATACGTCGTGGTCTTTGTTTAGCCGTTGTGACTAATTCGAGTCCTTGTTTGGGTTCATTTTAGTAATTTTCTCTTCAATTTATTACATAAAAATGTATTGCAATTGGCAATATTGGCCCGTATTCATTCGTGAGGGTAATAATTCATTGCAGAAAATAATCGTGTTAATACACACCAATGTAGCTTGACCCATTTGTATAATTTAAACGAATTTAAAACAAAGTAAACCTACTGATAATTGTTTAAATTTGTTTCATATAGCAAACATGCTTGCATGACATATCCTAAAATTCAGGATAAATTAGTCAGATGGCAACTATTCGTAAAATAGTTCCTATTTGTTCGACATTGAATTTTAAGTACCTAGTCAAATTTCAAAGAAAATTCGTTTCGAAGCAACTTGTGATGGCAGCAAAAATATTCGTAGATTCCTTGCACGAAGTTATTGTTAAATGTGCTGAAAACGTAACTCCAGAATTAACGCTCAACATACTGACTTGAATTTTCAGCTATGAAAGGAATATCGCTGTGCAAAGCAAGGCAAATCTGTCAAAACTAAACACAGAATCGGGAAACTGGAGTCAGATAGCATTAGCAAGTTGGCCAGTGCTCACTGGTCACCGAGGCGGCTCCAATCATGTGCCGAGGTGTCTTTGCTGTTAGGATGGATGCGCTACTTCTTGGTGGTGAAACTACCTGCCCGCATTCCTGAAGTAAGATTTCTAAAATGAGTTCCATCTCTCCCTGAATTGAGATTCTAAATACTAATAATAACTGAAATTTAAACCGTATTTCAAGGTATTTGATATTACTATCAATCAAGATTAATCTATCATAAGCGTTCCAAAGATTTCGCTTGGAAGTTTGAAATTTTCCTCAGTGGTACACCTTGTGATTTATCATGCGGTTGAGGGTGCCTTCAGTAAGACGCTTGCTAATAATTAAAGATCAAAGATGTATACGTCGTGGTCTTTGTTTAGCCGTTGTGACTAATTCGAGTCCTTGTTTGGGTTCATTTGAGTCATTTTCTCTTCAATTTATTACATAAAAATGTATTGCAATTGGCAATATTGGCCCGTATTCATTCGTGAGGGTAATAATTCATTGCAGAAAATAATCGTGTTAATACACACCAATGTAGCTTGACCCATTTGTATAATTTAAACGAATTTAAAACAAAGTAAACCTACTGATAATTGTTTAAATTTGTTTCATATAGCAAACATGCTTGCATGACATATCCTAAAATTCAGGATAAATTAGTCAGATGGCAACTATTCGTAAAATAGTTCCTATTTGTTCGACATTGAATTTTTTTAGAAGAAGCATCGTCCGAGTGACGTTCACTAACTGTTTTTTTTTTTTACCCAGCGTTGACACTTGAAAACATTTTTTTTCTCTCACTCTTATTCATTGTTAAGCCCCATAGCAAAGTAATACTACTTCAAATGATGGTATGGATTAATCCCGAATTCAGTGTTGCTTCCACTCTAAAGATTATATCATTGGCCAAAGGGTTTTATGATTTATTATTTTATGGTTAAATTTTTAAACCCTAATTAGTGTTTTGTGTGGAACACACTTCTATTTTGAAATAATAATAAATTCATGAGCAAAAACATTTGTCTTTGAAACTGGTAGCGAAAAATCCTATTTAATTTTTGAACATGGGATTATTAATGGAGAATTACTGCTGTGTATTAGGATCATTCATCGATCATGCCGCGTTGGCTGGAAATAGATTTAATTGGAGCCTGGTCTAAAATTACCCATCTCTGCCTTCCTCAGCTCCATTAAAGGCTATTAATGAAGCGTTCGTATTCTCTTGATTGCGCTGCAAATAGAATCCATGTGATAAAATAGGGTCTATCTATGAATAGAGATCTAATTCGCTTGAAATTGTTGCCTCGGAGACTAAAAATACTCCCTTCGCTGCGCGCCTTGAGTCTCCTAACCATGCGTGTATACGATTTGAGCGACGCTATTGTGCTAGTCAACTCTGACCTTTCCGACAATCACATTTGTGTTTCTTGACAAGTAGCGCGCGTCGCGCCATCGGGGGATATAAATCTTACCAGGATTTGCATGTCAGCTCCTGCTAAATTGTGAATTCAGACCACAGTTTTCCACACGCACGTGATTAAACACACCAGTTTAATAATTTCGCACTGAATGTGAAATGATTTTCTTAATTTGGATTAATGTGCTTTGGAATTGTAAGCTTCTCGAGGACATGAGTTCAATATTGGTCAGTGAGCCACCGTATTATGGTAATGGTTTTAGTTAAATTTAATTCAGCTGTACCGCGCTTTAAATCTAAGCAATTAATTCGTAATTTTCTCATTACTTTTAAATCGTAAACTTACTAGTGCATGCTTTGGAACAATTTGTTTGAAAATTAAACAGAAACTTAAGTTTCTTTTTGACGATTTGAGTGGGTTTTCCTCCAACATTCTGCTAACGACCTCGTACGTCTGGCACCATTTCATTATCGATCCTATTCTATTTCTAGCCACACGCTTGT